TTTTTTTTTTACTTGCAAGATAAAAACAAAGCGTATTGGTGTATAAATCAGTAATTCTCAGCAGATTAAATTATTACTAAATTTCTAAAATTCTCTAAATTTTTTTATTTAAGGTTTCAAGAAGAAAAAAAAGGAAAAAAAGGTCATCGAAGAAAAAGTGAAGTAAATATTCATTCCGATACGACAATAAATCTGTCTGTAAATGTGTTATGACATTATTATTTATTCTAAAATTTAAAGCTACAGCTGTAACTGCTTTAAATATTAATTCCGTTATTGCTACCATTTTTATTTCACTAAAAAAACGAAATTACTTATTATTTTTGTAATAATATAAATAACTTAGTGAGAACGAAATTTCATATATCTTCGGAATTTCATGATAAATTGGAAAAAATTCAATTCAATTCAAATTAGACTTGTTGTATTTCATCTCAACGTCAACAATTGCCTTAAACCATAATCTAAATTACTTGGTCATGATACTTTTGTTAACTTAAATGCATTTCTAATTGGCAATTTGTCCAAATGATGATCACCAAATGAAAAATGTCATTTATTTGGAATATTTTCGATCGATGCTTCCAACAAAAATATCAATTTAAGAATGATTGTCGCGCGAAACAACAAAGAAATGTTACGAAAAAATCAGAATCGTCAACGGTTTCATTTTGCAACACACATAATAATCCATTCTGTTTCGCTCGACCTCGAACAAATTCCGGAAATACGTGCTGTGACGCAACGTTGACACCCGTCACCCCCTGGTCACCCTCTCATTTGCGTAATTGGGAACTCGATCCGAGCACCGTATTCACTCAGTCTTTTGATCATTATGAAATGTTTGAGCCATCATTATATGATCGCTTCATCATTCCTTCATCTCTTCCCAATCACACCGTTAGTTTTTTTTTTTCTTATCAAGAAGAAAAAGAAAGGAACAAACAAATTATTTTCAAACTTTATGAATTATTCATTACCCATAAAGAAACAACTTAATTTTATTATTAATCCACAATTTCTATTATTATCATACATTGTATATGTACGCTATAGAGTCAAAATTAATCGTAATATATGTTTATTATTATATGAATGACTTTATTTATTTATTATATGAATGGCTAATTAATATTATATTACTAATTATTTATTCGAATTAATTTTTCGAATACTATGATAATCGTATGATTGCATCGTATGCTTATAAAGTGCAACATGATTGTTCTAAATTTTTCTTTCTTCTTTTTTTTTCTATCGCCATCGTCCTCCGTTTCATCCGTTAAAATCAAATCTAAAACTCAATTGAGATAAATATTTGAAAAGTTTATTTAGAAATGACATTAAATGATACGCCCTGTGAGTGAAATTCTTTTGGGAATTTTAACAGACAAAAAAATTAACAATTTGAGAAAAAGAAGTGAGAATTGCCTTCCTTCATCAAAAATCTTACGATGTGATAAATGCATTTTATTTGAAGATGATTGAAATTTATGCAAGAATTACAATTTAATAAGGTAAGTTTTAATTTATGATTGATTACTTGGAAATGTATCCTTTAATCTTGCACATTTTTAGACCGTTCCTTGAAATTTGACGAGAAAGTTTATGATTAACTACTTGAAAGTATAACATTTCATCTTATGAATTTTGAATTCCTTTTCTGAAAGATAAAGAAAGATTGCATAAACAATCAGAAGCGAAAAGAAAAGAAGTGGACCTAAAAATTTAGAAAAATATTCATTTTAAACAAATTTTATCCCCGAGAAACAATTTTTGCAGAATTGAAGTTTTAAAATTAACGAATAAAATGTATTTATCAATTTTTAATTGCACAATTTTTTAATTAAATCATTTCTTTTTTCTGACAGTTCGACATATTTCTAAATAGAATTTTTATTATTTGCATTTTAATCTCACTATTTTTTTAAAGTTATATTTTATTTTCCAAATCGAATGTATACTTTTTGAAGTAAACATTTTAATTGATAACTGCTAAATCGTCGAAATTCGAGAAAAAATAAAAAGTATTTCGATATGTTTATGCATTTCTGTCAGGTGTTTTGCTTACATCTGTTTCCCATCTTTAATGTTTATATAAATTTCAACCGAATTGATTGAAATTTAAAAACCGATGTTCATTTCTCATCCTTGCTACTAAGCTACAGGCTTTCAATTTTTTAATTTGATTACTTTTCGAAATAAAAAATTACGAAATGGATTTTAACCTTCCTTGCTATCATAAGCATTTATAAGTGAACACCTGAGTTTTTTACATTTATAGTTTGCTAATATCGCAAATATATTTCTCGAACGAATATATGGAAAGAAAAAAATTGACTTAATTAATGAGAGTCTACAATCGAAATTTCTTCTGTATTCATCTTGTTTATGGTAAAAGCTCTTCAGTTTGACCCGCATTCGACTAATTTTGAACTTACGATTAAAAAATTTAGGAAATTTCTGTTAAGTCAATTGATTCATTCATCTGTCAATCAATATTTTCTTTTTTTGAGAAAGGGTGAGGCTCACTGTTTTAATGCAGTAATGATAGCTATTTTCTCATTTTTTAATACAGTAAGGATAGCTATTTTAGAAGAAGCATACAATTTTGATTATTATTATTATTTATTAATTGTCCGGAAATTTTTATTGTTTTTCACGATTTCAATTGCTATTATTTGTTGCTCGCTCTCAAATTTTTATTTTTTTTTTTGCATGATTTCGGCTATTATTTGTCACTCATCCGAAAATTTTTGTTCTTTTTTATGATTTCAACTGTTATTGTTTATCTTCGTTGGATGTCTCATTTCTTGATTTCGCTGCTTTTAATCATTTCAAATTATTTTATATCTGATGTTATACAAAAATACTGACTCGTTTATCACGTATTCAATTTAACAAATTTCACATATGAGATACATGTTCGTCTAAACAATATACTAAAATTTTATGCTTTATATTCAACAATACTTCAACGAACTTATTTTTCGCTTATATTTGATCAGTTTGCACTTAATTGAGAAATAAACTTAAAACGCTATTTAAGCTTAACAAACTTGCTATATTATTTGTTCATAATTGCTTTATTGAATGTGCTCAATGATATTACATCTTGGTCTTTTACCTCTGATCTTTTAAAATCAATTACGGATTTTACGATGAATTAAAAGCAGTATGCTTTCCAAAATCCATTGGTAAATTTATCTAATTTTTATTGGAAATGAGAGAAAATGCTTTTTCAATTTTAGCATTGTTTGTAAATTGAAATTCTTAGTTTTCCATTTTTAAATAATTCGAGAGTATAGTGATAAAATTCCTGAACATAGTTTTCTTCCAAGAAAAGAAATTCAAAATTTCTACATTTCATCGCATCTTTTAAAAGTGATTCCCAATGGTGAATTTTCATTATCTTTACTTACTGAAATTCTCCAATAAATCATCGGATGATTCTCACTGAAACGACTTTCGTAAAAGAGCCTTTGAAATGGAAAGCAGATGGACACATGCACTCACATACACACATACACAACCTGACAGATTACACAAAAGGAAGGAGTATGCTCGACCTCTGTTCTTCACAGAGATCCGTCCGTCTGCTCCTCTCATTAATGAGTATTTGTCATCTAAATAGATGTGTATGATTCATTCTGCTCTTCAATTCCCTCAATTTCCCAGCAGCAGTTTCATTTCCAGCTTTGTAATCAAAGTTGATTACGAATCTATTTTTAAACACAGCGATTAGTCGTCTATTTCTATTAAGTTCTCTTTTTCCTTTTTGTTTTATTAAATTATTTTAATGAAATTATTCATTCACCTCATTTGAATCACTTAAATTAGGACACGTTAAGAAAGCTTTAAATATGCAATTACTGTTGCCAGAAAAATGTCCGATTTTTACTGTCTTTTTCTCTGCCTATAAATATCAATTGATTAATCATCTTTTTAAATAAAATAAAGGAACACTTTAGATTTTTAACTTACTTTTTATGATTACTCATACATTGTTAAGAGATCTTTGTCAATAAGAATCAAAATATCATTCAATAATTGACAGTAGTACAGTTCAAATTGATGCTTTGTATTGCATCCGAGTTAGAAATATCTAATGATGAAAGTGTTATTTTACGAATTAGGATTACTATTCTATTTTAATTTCCTTGTTCCATTTCTTCTTCAGTTCATATAGATTGAAAATTTCTCAAGATTTTCATCATTTCATGTTAATAATCTATAATCTTTGCACTCAAGACTTATAATCAATATAGTATATATGATGAGATGCAAGTTTTCATAAAATGCTAATTGACAGGCTGCGTCTTTTGGATGGGTCTTCATCAAATTATTTAAAATTTTAATTGGACTAAATCGGATTTCACATCATTTGCGGCCAGTTTATTTACTCAAAAAAGAGCAGCTATGGCTTTCCTTATCCATTCCCAAAATTTCAATAAATGATAGGTTTATTTTCACATGAATTTCACATGGCCTTATTATGCAAGCTGTTTATGCTTCATTCCAGTTTCTTGGAATATTTGGTTTGAACTGATACTTGTTTCAAGTAAGTGTATGTTTTTTGTATGTCAGATCTTTTTTTCTTTTCTCAGTTTCTTTTTGACAAACAGTGGTAGTATTTGTTTCAAGCATATTCGTATCTTTTTTTATTTCAATTTTTTGGGAATTTTTTTAACGAACAAAATATCTTCATTTCTTATTTTTCTTCTGTCTTTGAAATTTTTACGTTAAAAATTTTATATTTTTTCTTTGATGTAATTTCAAACTTTTTTTAATATAAATTTTTTAATATCTTTATGTATAGTAACACCAACTTTTGCTCTTATTTTCACAGTTTTTGGTGTGACTTCTATAGTTTTTTCATACAATAATAGCTCTTTCGAATTACATTTTTCAGCTTCTTTAGACATAAACTAATAAATCTCATTCCTTTTTCTCTCTTTCTTCTTGATTACGTTAACGTTTTACATTTTTGTCGATATTACATGAATTTATGCTTCATATTACAGGCAGCTGAATTATATTTGCATAACGAAGAACAAATAACGATGAATACGAGCGCAGCATGTAATCTGGAAAAATTGGTGCAACGACTTGAGACAGCAACATTGCGTTTGGAAGCATTAGGTGCTCAAAAGCCAATGTTAGCACCGAAGCCTACCAAGAATGATACATCACCAATGATTGTTTCTTGTAAGCTTAAATTGTTTGCTTTTTATGCTGTCTGTGATCAGAATTAGTTCAGGCATTTGATATCAGACTTCCTTATCTAAATTTTTGCATCAAACTTGAGGCATTAATTAAAATTAAAGCAGATTGAATAGGCTTAGCGAAAGCAACAGTATGAACGATAACAATGTTTAAAGAAAGCATTATAGGAGGATAAATGTCATTTGTGTTCAAAATAGTACTTATACTCCTTTGCTTTAAACTTTGATTGGGATATTTTTCAAGTTTTACTTATTGATAAGGAAAGGTCTAGAAATTGTATCTCAAGAGATAATTATATGCATTTTTATTGATTAGATCCATATGTTAATTTGCCTGTCAATAGCAATATTTAATTTAGAATAAGCGCTTGAAAATTAGATAAATCATGTGATCTTCACTGGATAATACATTCAGTGCTGTAAGATAAGTTTTTTAAAAGCCGATTTACTAAATTATGGTTTTTTATAATCTGAAAATATGTGTATAAAGTATTCTTTACTAGTTGACCGGCAGATATTAATGGTTGAGGAATGGATTTCGCAAATATATAAGAGATTAAATAAAAGCATGGTTTACAACTATAGATTATAGTCATAAATATGGTTATTAATTTAGATAGTTTTAAAAGATGACAGATTTGAACTGAAAGTCTAAAAAACGAGAAAAATAAAACTTTCTAATAAGAAGTTTCTTTTGTTTGATGATTGAATTTCAATAAATTTCTTTTATTTTCCAATAACCCAAAAGCAGGATAGATAGAAATATAGAGTTATTTGAGCTTAATATCTTAAATTAATCATTTTGCCAAGTGATTGTAAATATCTCTTTTAGAATTGATTTTTTTTAGTGAATTTTAATTGCATCAGCATTTTTGTATCAGTTCTGACAGTTGCGTAGGGAGCATAATTGGAGAGGGTATATTAAAGGATGTTTGCTATCGTGAAAGTAGTGCATGTTTGATTGAATGGTTATGTATGCATTGTTAATGTCTGGTGCTTTACATGCTGTGATATATCTGTTTCCGTGTTTTTGTGTGTGGCGAGGAAGTTTTAGTGAACTGCATCTTGAGTTGGCCACAGATGAATGGTCGAAATGAAGTAACAAAAGGCATTAGTTTTTATATAGATAAGAACATAGTTCTATGAGGCAAGCAATTGCAGTGGGTGTTGATGAGAATGACTGAAATGTTCTTATAAAAAGTGAGAATAAACTTGTTCTCACCGTGTGGCTCCGTATCCATAATTCTTATTATTACTCTTTTTTTTCCACTTTTAGTCTATCGATAGCATAGATGTAGAGTTGTAGCAGCACTAACTGCAGCTGCTCTGAAACTGCTGTAGCAGTGCTTTCGGTCAACAACTAAACTATCGTTTTGTTCAAGTTTCCCCAATTCCAGTTAATTTGAACTTCCCGGTGTCTTTTTCTATTATAAGAATATTTCCATTGTTTTCAAAAACGTGAAAACTGATTGAAAGAGAACATGGAAACCATAGTATCTCAGCTGCTTATATTTTGAACACAGTTTTATGAGACATTTTGAAACAGTATTCTGTCTAATTTTTTAATTTAAAAACTTTTCACGATCTTTCACCACTAGTAAACTTCTTCAATTTTCTTTCATATATTGCATTTTTATATATTTTCATATATTAAAATTGTCTTTATATAAACATATGCTAACATCCAGTTTCTCAATATTCTTTCTTCAATTGGCATTTCTTGAAGAAAATTCATTTCATCGTTGATAAGTGTTTTATCTATTTTGTTTTTTTTTTTTCAACTTTTTGGTCAATTTCATCTATTTTGAGCTTCTACAAGATTTGATAACGTTGTTTTCCTTTCTTTCTCAGTTACAGCCTTCTTGAAGCTAGCATCAGTTAGTTTTTCGAGTTTAGAGAGGAAAGAGAAGAGAAAAGAGAACAGTTAGTTCAGTGCTGTAAGCTTTTTGAACCCTATGGAACAGTTGCTTGGTGGAACAAATCGCTGTCGAAAATTTTACTTTTGCTTCTATGAAAATTTTTTTTGAAGATAATTTTAGTATTTATTTTATGGCAATAATTCTCCGAAACAATTCTTGCGTAAGGTGTGAGGATTTTCGCATATAAGATTGCAAGTCAGTGCATGATTAGTTGGTTGTATGTCCTTAAAAAGTCTTGAAAACTGTAGTTCACTTGATTTTCACTAAATTACTAAATTATCTGTGTTTCAACATTGTGTGTTGCGAGTAGTAAATGCAGCTATATATCGAATAAAGCTAGTTTTCTGAAGAAAAGTTACGAAACTCTGTTTTTGAGGCTCTCATTGTTTCAAATTGTTTGCCACAACCATCCAAATCAGTGATAAGACTTGCTTAGTTTCCATTAAGCCTTTGAGGTATATCTCACTGACTTCTGCCGGCTGCAAAAGAATTGCAAAATTCAACCAATAAGATTTTTTTTCCGTGAGTTACTTAGGATGGGTTTTTATGACAGGACATTTACCGCTTTATTTTTTTCTTTCTTAATGGAACTCTCTGATTTTATCGGAGATTTTCATTTGAATGTTTTTAATGGTTGCTGAAAATTAGCATCAAAATAATTTTTAACGATTTATTGTTTATTCGCTTGCTTTTTTAGTTCGGTTATGTTATCCGAAACAATATTTTCAAAACTGAGCTTGGAAAACCGCTGTTTCATCAACTATATTGAGAAGTTTTCTGAAGTTCTTTGAACGACTGTTTATTTGGTAATGGCATATTCTTCCAGCTTGTATTAAATTTTGCAAACTGTGACTGACTTTGCATATCCGCGTTGTTTTCCTCTGAAACGGCCTTTTTTTTGTTTTTACTTGTTCCTTCTATTTTGATTTTCTGTAAAGAAAGAGAAACAAGTAGAGAGAAAATGTTCTTCCAGAGTCCAAGACCGTTTGGACAGCATTCTACGTCATATCGTTCGATGAGTAGCAATATACATTCATCATCTAGTATGACCAGTTTACAAATGCCAGAACCGAAAAGTGGACGGACCAGTGCACCACCAATCAGTTTTGCATCTGTTTATGAGGGTAACCGTTTTGGTCTATCTGGACCACGAATGGATCATACTTCTATTAAAAATTCGAATTTCGAGAAAACGAGAATTTCCGAACACTCAAGTTTGGTTGAGATTATTAAGAATGTGGAAGGAGATCGATCAAATATTGTCAGCTCAGCTGGGACGTCCACAGCTGGTTTCAAAAATTATGAGAAACATAAGGCTACGCCCTTACATGATTCAACTGATTCAGGCGGAACTTCTGATCAGAATTTGAATATTCTCCAGCCAGAAGGACGTAATCTAGTATCAAAGAGTAATGTATTCCAGGTTGTTAACCAACAGTTACCATCTTGGGTACGCCAAACACAATCTCGAGAACCGCAATCAGAACAAACTTTACAGAATGTTAATCAATATCGCAAAGAATATCGTCGGCCGAATACTAATAACCAATGTAATCGTTTTTGTTCAGATTCAGCGGTAGATTTTGCTGATCATGCTCCAAAGTCGGTAGCAATTCAGTCGCAATCGGCACCCTTTTTCAGCACTGGTGGATATACCAGTATGCGTGGACCAACCCATGATCATGAAAGTTTTTCCGAAACACGGGTCAGCAGTTCTCAGTTTAATGCATCTCAGGTTCCATTTAATGAACAACAGCAACAACAACAACAGAAGCCAATTGCCTATCATCAGTTGGAAAGACGTAAAAATTATGCAACGTTACATCACATAGCGTCACCAAAAATTGGGCCATTGCAAAGGCGTATATCAGATCCAAATTTGAAAAAGATCAATGGCAATGACTTACCAGAGAATATAGCAATGTTTAATGTTGCGAAAGGAGTTCGGGCAGAATTGGAGCAAGATCCGAAATTCAGAAGAAATGCCGATATTTTGAGTAGCCGAACAGCACCGGAACCGATAGCAAGTGCTCCTCTTCAGGAGCAACCGAAACAATCTCCCTCACTGCGGCAGATGAAAAATTTTTTCGAGCAGAACGTTCAACAATTTCATAATGTTCTTAGCACTAAAAGGCCGCCACCGTTACCATCATCAAAACTATTCAATTTAGAACATGTACGTAGTATATTTCGTACCAACAATACTGTTCGCACAGAATCACCATCAATGGCTATCTCCACATCTATGAATCCACAAACTAAGCAAGACAATCCGTTTTTGGGGAAGTCGATAAAACCATTAGTTGAAACGCGTGAGGCTCAAGAAGAAATGACTGGTGCTAAATTGAAGAAAGATATGCGAACTTCGGAGATAATCGGCCGACAGATGGTTAGCACTTCACAAAATATCGAGTCAACAAACAACGCTGAAAAATTGGTAGAACGAAAGGTACATTCGATTAATGAAACAAGTAAAAGAAATATACAAGCAAATCCGACATTTATCATCGATAAACCAGTAATTACAACAGGAATCGATAAAAGTCCTGAAATGCGGAAAAAAATTGTCTCGCAGGAACAACCTATTGTTTTGCAAGATATTGCTATGTTGGAAAAAGACTACGATTCTCTTACTACTTCTATCACACCACGGCGCTTAAACCAACCATTTCCTGTAAATGATGCAGCATTCGTTAATGGTAGTAAGAAAACTCGAAGTGCCGCAGGTCCACCTGGAATTTTAATGAAAGATGGAAATAATATTCGATTAGCGAACGATTCAGGAATTAAAACACCAAAAAAAGTTGCATTTCGATGTGATAGAGATAGTACTGGTTTTGCAAAGAATAAACTCGAAGAAAGTAGAAGTAAGTGATATACTAAGTGATACGAGAACTTGCAATATACCATCTTTAACATATCGTTTTTATCATAATTCTTTCTTTTAACAAAGTAAGATGTGCATTCGTTTTTTTTTACATCTGTGCATTCAGAATTTTTTCTTGTGTAAGTTTTTATATAAAAAATGATTGCGTTTTTTCCTTTTCTAACTTGAAGCAATCAGCTTAACAAAGTCGATAATTATTAAAAGAACGTAATTGTTCAAAGTTTAAAGGAAATGCATCAATAATTTTATTGATTTTAGGATGCATATTACTATTCTTGAGCATGTTTTATTTCCCTCTAGCTTACAGATCGCAATTTAATTGCATTGCTCGATCAAAAGAAAGACATTTTTTAAAGATTTTAAAAAATGACCAACAAAAATAAACTCCTAGTTTCAAAACTTGAAATTTGAGTTTTGTCGAAAAGAATGCATGTTGAACAGTTTGTGCTTTCGTTCCTTTTCGGCATTATGATAGTGAGTAAAGATACTTTCGGAGTGGAGCAGTTATTGATGAAATTGACAGCTTATTTCTCAAAAAGCAAATTTACTTTATGGGAAATTTAAGGGGGATAAAGTGAGAAATCATGCACATAGTGGATTTTTCCCAATTCCATTTTAACGGGTAAAAGGTTGTATCTGCTGTTTTATTAATATTTACGGAATTTCAGCATCAATTGAAACTCCACCATCTGTTGTGCAGTATGATGATGCTGTTGACGAGCCTCTTCAAAGAATGCTGAAGCTAAGTGCTGATATTGGTGGTGATCTGCAAACAGTGGTATGTTCTTCAAATCACTTTTCTTCTCTACTTTTACTTACCCTTCTATTTGGTTATGAGGCCAAAGATATGTCGATGAGGGATTCTGAAAGTGTGACCGATAAACATTATGCATTATGCATTTTGAATAAAAGGTGATGTCAACGGTGATGATAATGAAACGAGTTTTGATTTGATTGACACGTGCTTTTTTCAGACTAGTGAAGACCAAGTGGAGGGAAAAAAAACGCTTCAGGAGATGCTTCGTTAGATAACGTGTGCACTTTTAGGGTAACAAATTGTCGACAATTTTCATGGAACAGCGCAATTTTATTTGGTTAGCTGCTGGTCAAAAAGAACCATCGAATAAAGAGCTTCAGGCAAAGCTTAATCCTTTGGTTAAGTTGATGGAAGATTTATCAATATTCAAAGAATCCAAAAGGAATACACCTTTTTTCAATCATATTTCAGCTGCAAGCGAGGGAATTCAAGCGCTTGGATGGCTCACAGTGGTAAGATTCTTACGGCTAAATTTTGCTATGATAATAATGAAGCGTTTTTTTTAAATATATGCCACGTTTGATGTAAATTTTCATATTTAGATTTATATTTTATTAAATCTGAAAAAGAATAGGATATATCAGTATAGGAATGCAAAAAAAAAAAAAAATTTATCACATTTCTTTTGCTCTTCGTTTATCCTTTTCTACAATTCTGTGAATTACAGAAACCTACGCCTGCACCATTTATCAAAGATATGTTTGAAGCATCGATGTTCTTTGTGAATCGTGTACTGAAGGAATGGAAGGATAATAAGGTATGTTGTCACTGAATATTGGTTATACGGTATACTGAAATGTATCTTATTTTGTTTTATTTCAAAAGCTAATTTTCTATATTTTGGTTTATTTTTCATTTATTTGATTTTAAGGTCGTTTTTAATTTAGTTTTTATCTTCATGCTTACTGTGGTCGTAGTTGTTCCAATCAGGAAATCATACATCTATTGGATGGAAAAATCGGAATAGTAATGGAATTTCTTAAATCATTTCATATTCTTTGTAGATTCATACTGAATGGGCGAAGTCATGGTCAGATGTTTTGAATGCTTTGCAGAAATATGTACGGCAAGTACATACTACGGGTCTTGTTTGGAACAGCTGCCCAGTAAGTTGATTTTATTATTTTTGAAGTGATTTCAGATTGCTTTAAAACAGTCGTCTTTTTTCGTTATCTCTTTGTTCATTTTTTTTTCTCTATCGTATAGTTACATAAATTGCTCACATCTAGATAATGGCCTAAGATAATTATTGAATGAAAGATGGTATTAGTTTTACATACTTCTTGTAGTAAACTTGTATTTGAGCGTTAGATCTTCGATTTGTATCTTTTCTTTTATGGTGAATGATTTCTCTTCTATTGAAAGATTTCTTTTCAATTGTGTTCAGCAAAGAAAAGTACAATGAAAAATTTGATTCAAAGAAGATAATTAAAACAATGAATAAATAGAATTAGAAAATTAGGAAATACTAAGCAAAAATAAACAGGCTCATAAATATCCGAATAAATAAGGGGTAGTTCTATGATCATTGCGCTTAGTCAGTTGCAGGCTTCATTACTCTAGGAACACGTAAAATGTTGGAATTTAAATTTCTTCCTTTTAAGGGCACAAAGCCACCAATACTGGTAAAACAGGCCACTTCCAACAACATTTTATCTGGAGGTGTGCCACCTCCGCCTCCTCCTCCTCCTGTCCTGCCACCCGGTTAGTTTTTGTGTTTATGTATGCTTATATTTTAAGGACATTTGCAGTGGTGCTATCACTAATAGCCTGATCAGTAGCTAAATTAAAGTAGATAGTTTAAAAAGCTAGATCAAAAGAATAACCTATTTGGGAAGCTAATCTCTCGGTAATGCCATTATAAAGAACATATACTGCGCTAAATATTGTTAGTATTACATGTGTGGTTTGATATAAACTTTAATTTTCGCAACTATGAGCTGTTATTGTCAGCCTGACGACGTCGCTTAGTATTTTTGTTTGTTTTCTTCCATTTAATAATTGCAAAACTTCAATAGGTTCAAACATTTTGTTCACCATGGTCATCATTTACTCAAACTGTTTCCATGGATAATGAGACAGTCTTTTTCTTTCTAGATCTTTTTGCTGCTTCTGAAACAAATGTTTCGACCGACAAAAGTGATCGAGCAGCATTGTTTGCGGAAATTAATGCTGGTGAAGAAATTACAAAACGTCTGAAAAAAGTAACACCAGATATGCAAACACATAAGAATCCGGCACTTCGATCGCAGGTACAAATATTTCCCTAAAATTTTCGTTTTTTTGCAAAATAAATTCATGCAGTGTCAAATATGGAATGTAGGCAAGTTTTTCTTTTTTTTTTTTGATTTTACATCCATATCAGGGAGTCGATGTTCTCTTTTGTATTTACATTCAAGATCACTATTTAAACGCAGAGTCGCTTACAGCTTAATAGATATGTTGGTTATAGCATTTTAGCTTGACAAATTACTAGCATTTTAAGATGAATAGTTTCTTTAATGTTTAAAAAAAGCTGGTTTAAAAAGCTAAACACAGTGTCGGTTATCTCTTAACTGCAATTAATTTCCGAAATATTACCAGCTCCTTATGTGTTTGATTATGTGCCAGCTCTTATCAAATCCTAGGTTCATCCTACCTTCACCGTGATCATCTCAGGGTGTCTTTTATAGCACAAAGAAATTGATGATAGAACACGAAATACGGAAACAACGTCAGCAGTAACTGAAAATACGTCGCCAGTAAAAAAACAAGAAAGTAAACCGCCGAAAACATGGTTAGATAATGGCAAGCAGTGGAACGTGGTAAATTTCTTACTTTTTTATGTTTTAAACAGAGAGGACTGGGAGAATTGGCGGAAAGAAATAAAGAAAAAAATTAGAAATCCCATACAAGCAGGATAAGGCATAAGGAAAAAAAGTCTTCCTTAAAACGTATATTATGTTTGAGGAATACTATAAAAATAACAGCAATGTGATGGTTGAAGTTGGTGATATGAAACAGACAGTATATATATTCAAATGCGAGAATAGTGTCATTCAGGTCTGTTTAGTTTTCCTAGTAATAATTTAATTATGCAGTTATTAGTCCGGGTTTTTTACTTTTTAAAATTTATTGATAGTGAAGTGTAAAAACAAGTACTGCGAAGAACATTTTTGAGCATATTCCAGTTAGTCCTTCTTATCATACGTGCTAGAATAATATATTAAATTTAGTAGTGCATAGTATATATTCTTAATGTTTCGTTTCTAATTTTCAATCTATTTCTAATCTTGTTATGAATTTCATATTCAAATAAAAGGAAATAGTTACAAATTTCAGCGAAAAATTATTTTTCTAAAAAAATTTATTTAAAAAGGGAATTTTCAGATCAAGGGAAAGGTAAATTCAGTAACATTGGATAGCTGTAAAAAGACATCTGTTGTATTTGACAGTCTTTTGTCTCAATTTGAAGTGATTAATTGTCAAAGTGTGAAAATACAGGCAAGCATTTTAAGGTTTTATTAACGCTTTTTTTAATAGTTTGGTTATTTTCTCTAATTTTAATTTTAAGATGGTTATTGGGAGAAGTAATTCGGGTTGTTTTCCTAGTGCTTTCTGCTTTATCGGATCTCCACTCTGCTAAATGGTTCCAACTGTGTGTGCATTTTATATATAAAGTATAGTACTTTTAACAGGTAATTTATTGGTTATATCGATATTATATAATTTTTCTTGGTGTATTTAGACACTCGGTGCTATGCCAACATTATCGATCCAGAAAACTGATGGTTGTCAGGTGTATCTCAGTAAAAGTGCAATAAATGCAGAATTAATAACAAGTAAATCATCTGAAATGAATGTGCTTGTACCTGGTGCTGAAGATGGTGATTTCGTGAGTTTTGAGTTTTCGTTTTTCATTTTTTTTTTTTGTTTTTTTACAAAGAAAAGTTATATATAGAAATATGAAGATAAAGTAAATTTAAGGTAAATAATAGATAATAAATTCGTAGATCCCTTTTTCTTTTTTGTTTATGATTATCAACTTCTTGAAATGTTTTTTTCTGATAGGTAACAGTAAGTTTATTTTGTGTTTCCTTGGTGTTTCAAGTAAGAGGAAGCGAAGAGATGAATAGAGAATGATCTCTCCATCCCGTCGTTTAATAAAAACTGGCGCAGTTTTAAGTTGTAAATTTTATTTTATATTCTGCTTTTCTGCTGAATTATAATATACACTTTTAATTGCTGAAAGTTTTCCTTTTCTGGATGTGACGGAAAAGATATTTTGGAAATAATTTTTGCTGTTATCGATGGATGAAGCGCTTAGTAAAAATCACCACAAAGAAAGGGAAAATCACTAGACATCACTAAACGATGGATTATTACTTACCATTATTATTTTTATTGTTATTGTTACTATAACAAATCTCAAATTCAGGTAGAATTTGCTGTACCTGAACAGTTCAAAACAGTTTACGATGGACAGAAATTGAAGACGACAGTGTCCGACATATGCTAAAAGATGCACAGTGTATCATTGTGGCGACATTATGTATATTTAAACAGCGAATAGTTTAGTTGTGCTATCTTTTTTAATTAATTAAGAAACAGACAGTACTTCGAAAATCGAAGGGAATTATCCTGAAGAAGCACAACTGTAAATCGTGTTAGAACGAAACTCATATTCATTTTCTTCTTGATGATTTTTTATTGCGTGAATTATTTTAAAATATTTGCTCTATATTTTTTAAAAAGGCCTTTGAAAACATCATGCTATGTTGTATTTGTATTACTCGACATACGCTTGAGCTCTTATTTTTTTAATTTAAGTCTAAAATACATACATGACGACTCAGCATTTCTACTATCAGTATGCAGTGCTTTATTATTATTTATGACGGTTTTCTTTTTTCTTGTACGACTTTCCTGTTTGTTGCTTTATATAATCCTTAATATTTATTTCTGTGTACTCTCTTTTCAGAATAAGATTTATCTCCACCTGAAAAACAAAAAGTGCTTACTTGAAAAAGGGAATAGAGTTTAGATCATGTTTACACGCAGTTGTTATATTTCTAAAAGGCTTAAAGTCTTCATCAGAAGGATGAATACTTTGATCTTTTCAAAAATATAACAAAATATAAAACAAATTAAGGCACGTTCGATTGTAACTAAACCTTATGCTTTTGAGGATTTCAGATGCTTATCTTTATGATAGAACAAGGAATTCATACTAGAACATATTTGCTCTTATTATTGCTATTTTGAAGGGTATGTAATGAAAGGATAGATGGAAGTGATAAGAAAATCGGGAAGTCATAGAGTAATCTTAAGATCATAATGTTTTTAGATTTCTTATACTACATGTATGTATGTGATATTTTATAGGTTATTATCGTAATTGGCTGATATCTTATTAATTTGTCATATTGTCAAGAAAAAAGATGAACAAATAATTAAAGTATATGAAAAACTATGAAAAACTCATACATGCGTGCATGTATCTACATACGCATACAAGCAATTATTCCTCAGAAACCCTACAGTAGAATACTCACTTTGGCATCCACTATCCTCTATTTTATTGTTTCGTCCAAATCAGAAGCAAGATCCCAATAATTTAGTTCACTTGTTAAAAAAGAAAATAAATTATCTATGACTAGCATCAATACATAATTTATTATGGCGAACACAAAAGACCTTGAAATATGATACGAATCGGAAGTAAAATTCATACAGTTCAGTTCACGACCATCGGGATTAGCAGATCCAACCAACATTTCAGCTTCTACAATAAGTAATCTCTAGCAACTCAAAGAAAGCCAGCAGTCATAAAAGTGTTACAATATGTAAATCAACTGATAATAGCTGATGTACGTTTTGTAGTACTTTTATGCTTTCCCGCCAATAACAGATTTTCCATAATCGGCACATAAAATGCATTGTTCACATTTTCTAATTTAAAGTAAGCAGTGTTAGCTGTAGCACTATGTTTTGAGTAAATTTCAAATCAGTTGTTTTTAGCAATCGTTTAGTGAAAATATATAGTGCTTAAAATGAGTGGAGTTGATCTGAAACTTATAAATCGTATTACTTCTTGTTGAGCGAAAGTAATTTCCATCACCTATACTATCTGTTATTACATTCAAATTCTTTTCCAAAGAAAATTGAAAATTTCTTTCTGTATAATATTCCTTTCAGTATAATAGTATTTTATCCACATATTACTGATCTATAGGATCGTTTATTCAATCTTTGGTCCAAAAAAACGTACAAAACGATTAAAACCAAAAGCATTAGCGATGAGGTTTTGACACGTTCGATTCAATGTAAACCTAAAGTCGAAAACTTTTCGTCAGTAACCAATATCCTTCATAAACGAAATCTTTCCTAACGTTTGAGAATCTTCCAAAGTTCTCAAAATCTCTGAAATATCTAGTACAGGTGTTAATTAACACTATCATTATCACTTTCCATAAATGGAAGATGCCATGTTGAAGAGGAATAATGTTCGCATTGTGCATGACCTTGGCATGTCCGCAGAAGTTCAAGTTGCCTACTTAATTGTTCCAACACTCCCAATGGTATGCTCCATATGATATTGTGCAACTGAAATGGTACTGATAAAAAGCTTCAATTGATAACAAGCTGCACAGCTATCACTTTACCGATTCACTGCTTCCCAATATTTATCAAACCAATGAAGGGAAATTTAATCGGATTTTTAAATGCTTATATTCTCAAACCATTTATTACCTTCTAATTTATGTAGCAAAATTACTGGTTGAATACTTTTCGGCAAGTAAATAACTTTTGGACATGAAGACATAATCATTTTTTTAACTTCAAATTTATATTTATATTCATATTCAACTTCTTTTTTAAGAACTACTGAAAATTACTAACCTGATAAGGATCGGTATTAAGATCATAGTAGCTTATAAATTCGGTGATAAACTCGCAGTATAGAAAGTTGTGTGTACTGTTAACTGTCCGTATGCACCAATATGTGTTGTTGTTAGAATTTTGACAGAAGCAAAACTGGCCATACCGTTCCGGCCAAAACGGTGGCGTCCTCCAGTGATCTGCACCATGGACGAAACAATTCATCTGTGGTACTGTACAATTCGCATGCATTTCACCATGACTTGAGCTTCTGTAATTATTCACATTCTTGAAGCTTCTGCAATTATTCACATTCTACCGAGTATCCCACCTATTCATCGCTGCAGATAAGAAAAAATCCTTCCAATATCCTGAAATATATCAAGCATAAAATGATTTCATGATTCAACAAATACTAATGCCTAGATAACGTTCGTTCCCGTTATTAGAATCCTGCTTAATTTTATAAAAAGGTAGAATAATCCAACTGGCTACAATTTCATTCTTCTTAAAGAGCATTTACTTTGAATTAACTCCAAGGCTGTTGTGAACATTTTTTCCACTTCTTCGCCACCATGACACATCACTGCGGCTATTTTTATTCCTTCAAATATCCAATATTTAACTTTTCTTCAAGTATTTTATAATACCTCAACGACCTGTAAATTCTATTCCAGAAATAAATCAGAATACAATTAAGGTTACCCTAGCAGACGAGCATGCGTTCCTTTGCAGATACAACCACTTAAATTACTTGATAAAAAATTATTCGATGTTAATGGTCGCCTTCGTTTCAATGTTCTCCGCATATTCTTGAAAAAATTTTTTCTCAAATTTATGAAATGAAATAAACAAGAAATATGCAAAGCTGCCAAAATCACAATAAATTACTCCAGATATCAATCATGGCGGGGATATCGATTTAAAATTGTCTGCTTGAGTGGAATTTTCATTTCAAACTACCTTATTGTCGTTGAAAAGACTGATGAAAGAATGCACTGCTATAAAAATACTAGGATTATTATCAATGTCGTTAGATAATAATGACCTGATATGTTAGGTCGCATTCTTTAGTGACGCATGTTTCAGGTCTTTCTTCTAGAAGTAAAAATCAATACCAAAAAAATGGATCTGAATTAGTGCAGTAATAAAAGTAAGCAGAATAACCTTATAAAGCAATAATTTTCTCCTAAGACTTTCAATTCGGCCATCCACTTTTGCCTTGTGAATTGTCCATAATTTGGAATTCCGAAATACTTTCGGTTTGCAAATGACACTCGTATTGTATCGAACACAAAGAGCTGCAAAGAGATATAATAATTATTCCATAAAAATTCAATATTTCATTCTGCTTCATTCTGATGTTTGGCCCTATTTAAACCACAGCATATCAAATTAAAATTTCATAATATCCTACAGCCAATCCTCGCTTTTTCCATTTTTATCGATCGCTTGATGCGTATATCACCAGCATTTCGGTCTTCCAAAACACCTTGGTACCACTCACCATTTTCCATCACTTCTTTCTGCATTGAAATGAATAAACAATACAATGAAGTGACTTAGCTGGACATCTATAGTAAGTGGGGAACTATAATTCAATCATAGGTGGAATACTTCTCATGGAACTACTACGAAGAATTGATATCGCATGCGATTACTTTCACATCCTTAATAAGGAAGTACCTCTTGCATATATTGCAAAAATTCTTCCTCCCAAAGACTTCGCAAGGTCTCGTCTAGAAGAACTGTTTCACCTTCCTCGTCCAACTGAGCTATAGTTGCTCTCCTGCGAACATTTATCCTCCCTTAAAACAATACTTCGTTTGAAAAATCTCTAAAAATATGAACTAATACAAAAATATTAATACCCTCAAAAAATTTTCAGTCATCATTAAAGATCGCAGTAGAATAATCTGTCCGATTGTATACTGCATGACCAATAAGAATGAGTGGTAAAAATCAAAAATACCTAAGAAAATTTAAATTATAATTGAGCAAACCATGCTTTTTCCTGGATCGTCGATAGCGCCGTTTCAGTATAGCTTCCAAAGAACAATCACATTCCTTGATGATATCTACATTTGTCTGACATTTGAAAATTCTCCACTTACCGGAAGCATCATGAATGCATTTCCATTGCTGAAATAAATATTTAATTTATATTAATACATTTGCAACAGAGTATAAGTAACGATTTCAGTACGATAGAATTCTACACACATTCTAAAAGACGGAAACTAATGCAATTCAGACTAAGTAGCTAAAGTTAACTGTAGAATGAACTTTGCAAAAAGTTTATGATTTTGATAAATCCTCAAGCACCATGGAAAATTTAGCAAAAGGCTCAAACAGACTTTCCTTTTAAGGTTAGTAGTACCTGCCCTTTCCTGCATGGTTCCCTGAATTCCGATCGAGTACAAGCTTTTTGTACACGAATATCTTTATTCAATCGACCATGCTGCTTCATAAAGCGATCACGTATTCGAATTAATTTCGCCATTTTTCTATATAAGATCGTTAAAAGTGAAAAAGTATTTCTTTTCTTGTTCAACTACAACATCATGAATGAGTAGAATACATTTGAATATTTCAGAAGGACGAAAATTACGTTTTCATTTTAAACCATGATGTTTAGCAGATGAGTAACAATTGAGAAAGAAACAAGATTACCCCCTTTCAATCAATACTGTGTCTCGCCATCTGAACTCCGTTTTTTCTGCTTCCTTTTTTGTCTTCCTTTTTTGTTTATCTTAAAGAAATTAGTCTAAACAGAGTAATTGGAAAAAGATAACAAGCAAGAGACACAACTTCTGAGAATTGTAACACAATCTCGTGATTTAAAGCTTAAATGTCATTTGACCACAATGCTGAAAGCACAGAAAACTAAGATATTTCAGCATATCCATCTATCACAATGTAGTGAAAGTTGAAAATACTAATTAAATCAATGGGCAATTAAAGGAGAAAAGACATTACCGTATTGTCGCATAAGTTGTACCAATGAACGTCCATCCATATGACGTGGTACTGCTATTCCAGCTATATCTAAGATTGTTGGAGCTATATCAACATTCATTACAGGTTCACGGATCCTATACAATTTCGTTCAAGATCGAATAAATTACGGACATCTTATCAGGAATAGCTCATTAACTTAATTACTTTCACAACGGTGTGAAACAAACATGTGAAAAAAAAAAATTTTTAAGCTCATGAAATGCAATATGTGGCAACAATACCAGAAAATACATAGTTTTGCAAATAATCATTGTGTTAAAACTCGTTAAACAAAAAAATTAACAAAATGAAGAAATTTAAGTATAGCTCACGTTATATTTTTCGGAAATCCTGGTCCACGAATAAAATATGGCACGCGGATATCAAATTCATATGGCATATTTTTACCTTTCACCAAGCCAAATTGCCCCAAATGATATCCATGATCGCTTGTATAGATGAAAACGGTATTCGACAGATCACCCAGATCGCGCAATTCATTTACTAGCTAAAAATTGCTTTTATTATATTTCATATACAAAAGCAAACAATCGGCCTTGATGATCTGAGTTGGAATTTTATAATTCATACAAGTCAGATCTTGCTCACTCATTAATATATCGCTATGAAAAGAGGTTGTACAATTTATGAACAGGAAAGCAGCCTTAATACTTCTGACATAAAAGTTTTAAATCTTGTTAAGCGACAATTTTTCTAATCTAACTGCTCTCTTTATATCTCTCTTTATATCTTAAATGAATGAAAAAGAATTTTGCAGATTCTTCATATATAAACTAATCAATTCATTCAGTACCATTTCAATGAATGAGAGACTCAAAAATACTTCATAAACTAACTCTTTGAATATTACTATCCACACTTTGCAGTGTTTGCAATCGTCGCCTATGTAAAACATCGGTAAATACAACATGAACTGGTTCCATACGTCCGGTATGTTGCAAAATCCATTGTTTATCAGGATTTGGAGCATAGTTCCAAGCTTCTGTTCTTAAACTCAACTGTTAAAGACAAAAAAAAATTATTCCATTGTCCATATAGCATTAGTGATTCCTGAAACAAAGTACCTATGTGTTTCGACATCTTGAAACCATGAAGAATATTGTGGAGCTGGGTCTTCTGGACCATGTGGTGCTGGAAATGATAACACAATCATGTATGGTTTGAAGAGATCTTCTCTATGCAAATGTCGAATAAATGTTATCGTATCGTTAGCGATTAAATCGGTGAAATAGTCCTGAAACAATCCATATTCAAGTTTTTCAACTAATGACCAAACTCACAAAGATAATGGAAGAAATGATATTGAATCGGAATTTTCTGAATCGGATTTTTGAAAAAAGTTTACAATGACAGCAGTTAAAGCATCCTGTTATATCTATTTATTTATCAATTCAAATTTTCTGGCAAAAAGTTTGATAATTAAAAGGGAAAAAAATTCTTTATAAGCAAACCTTTTCATAATTCCAACCATGCTTGATCTTATCACCGTTCACATTTATCGTGTAGTTATAGAATCGGCTATTCCGGAGCAACCCCATCCAATGATCCCAGCCAGGGGGAATGTATGAACCGGTGTATTCATTTAAATATTTACCAAAATACGCCGTTGTATAACCTGCTTCATTTTTTAGATATACGGCAAATGTATTTTTTTCATAATTATTCCTGAAAATACATATTAAGTTACTTTATTTTACCTGAAATTTGTCAAGAAAAAAACTTTCTTTGATTTATAACAAATTTGTTCTTTATTCATTAGCACCTCTAGTACTTGTTCTTCCAGTACTTGTTCTTCCATTCTTTCATTCATCTATCGTAGTTTTCGATCTTTGTATAAGTTAAAAAAATTAACAATAAAAAATTTCTCTTATGTACGATTTTTTAAGACATGATGATCTAGATCTAAACTGCTCGGTCATTCAAAAAAAACATTCTCTAATGATGATTAAGCAGATGTTGAACAGAATAATGTACGTCGCTTTCCTAATTAAGTTATGATAATAGTCATTAATGAAATTCACCCGCTAAGTTATAGTTGTTTAATTTTGTAGGTAATTTTGAAACTTTTTAAACTACAATTAAAAAAAATACCTCCAATCATTCCCCGAACAGTTGTGATTATTGGTAGGTACATGATGATTGTGAGCATACATTCCAGTCAATATTGAACTTCGACTTGGGCAACATATAGGTGTTGATGCGAAACCTGAGTTGAATGTCACTCCACGTTCTTTTAACAGATGTACTGTTTTTGGCATAAACTGAAAAGCAAAAGGATATATTTATCTTATTCAGAAAGTAAATATTGTGAGAAACTAAATATTGATGACGCCCAAGTGATTTTATCTGAAAAAGTTATCAAATCAAAAAAAATTGTCAAAAGATTTTTGATACGAGATCCAGAATTAATGATATCATAAATCCAACTACCAGTTTGCAGATTACGAGTTAATTCATCTCTAAATTGATATGTTTGAAGACACTATAACTGCGATAAGCATAAATAATGAAATAAAATAGAAAAAGACCTGCATGGAGCCTAATTCAATATCCTGATCATCGGTCATGATAAGTATTATATTTGGTCGAGTTGGTGACCTGAAAAATGATGCCTGAATTTCATGAATATATAATTTGAATGAATCTATTTATATAAAAATAAAGTGTAATGCATTGCATTCACAATATTAACGCCAAAAATATTGTAGAGAGATATGAATCAGATACTCAAATTTCCTAATAGATAGGAACTTCGAATGGTTTTAAAAGCTAGCTACGATGGTTTGAAATATAACGGTAAATTCTGACAACTGCGCAAACGCTTCAAATATTTCTCAACGTGAAATATTACATTTCTCTTGATATTTATATTTAAAGGAACACCAATTCTCATATCTCTGAAGTCAAACTTAAATATTTATACTGTACACAACACTAAGTATATGAATAGACACATTACATTAAATTTTTGTTTTATTTAATGAAATCTCAAAATGTATCATTCTTAAAAACTAAATTTTAAAAAATAACAGTAGTGGAGGAAAAAAACATTACCAAGCTTCGAGCGTTGATGCATACCATAAAAGGTACGTTAACTGAACCAAATAGATAAACCCTGACATAATCATCAGGAATTTAACGAACTATTAATTACACCGGAAGAGAAATGATAACATATCTGAATTATAATTATGGAAATAAATTAATAATGGTAGTAATGAAGATGATACTACGTTTTCGTTATATTTCATTGCATTTCGTTAAGACATATTAAATTTAGGAAATCATATCTAGTCTTTCTCTTTAAACAAATTAGTCAAGTGAAAACCAAAACTTTCTTCCTCGAATATTTAATTTGAAAAAGAAAGAAAAAGGGAGAAAAAAGAAATACAAGGAAGAAGTGAAAAAAGGAACAAAAATATTTTTCTTCTAAAACAAATCATACCAGGAGTACCGTTTGCTGTAATTTCCCCCCTGATATTACATTTGGTAATGATACAGTGTTAGCAGCGGAGGAGAAAAAAAGTGAAAAATAAAACAAAAGTTAACTGCGTCAAAAAGTAGCTAACAGCAGGCAACAGTTGTTTAGAGCCGAAAATTTTTTTCAAAAATTGGAAAAGAAAAAAGTTTTAAAAAATTTAAAAGAAATAAAGGAAGCAGGCAAAAAAAAACAGAACAACCTTTGAGATGTTTAACATCCGAATGTTGTGCATATTTATATACTTTCGCCATCTACGATTTATTATGTTTTAACGCTTGTACTTCATCACAATTCAATGTTTATAATCTTTTGCAATTTTTTATGCTTTGAGGTTCCCATTATAAATTCAAAATTTCATGCAGTAGAAATAAAAATAAATTCTTTAAATTGTCTGTCATTTTTTTTCCACCAAAAAATTACTTATAAAAAATTAATTTGCAAGAGATATGCTAACCATCTCAAATTTGAAATGATAATAAGCACATAAGGCAATGGAACATCACACTGAAATATATGAGTTCTCGTAAGACTACATATAAAGCCACGTACGGAAGGTAACACTGATATCACGTGTGAATAAGGAAATTTCTTTATAACTACTGAAATGAAAAATTAACACTTCATAAATTCTAACACCATGTTTATACGAGTTGAAAAATATGTCTTACTTCAAATAATGAACAGATTACTTTTTTACCTTTGGTTAACCTGTAATAAAAAAAACGTCCAATGATATATGTTTTCTCTTGCGACTACGTTCAAAATTACAACTTCATAAACTTTTGACCCCGAAACTACTTAATAACTTTTGGAAAAGATATTAATGACTGATAGAACTTATTCATTATATTCTCTGATGCTACTTTCATTCTTCTTTATTTTCTCCTAATTTTATTTATTTGTCGTTTTATTGTTACAAAGAACGAAAAAAATTACATATCAAGCAGTTGGAAACAGTTAATCGCTATTCATGTAGAATTTTTCAACATTTTTTTTTAACATTCCAAAAAGACATTTCAATTATTTACCATTTCTTGGAAAATGGAAGCTCGAGCACATTTACATTCAAAGCTTCTATCACCTTTCTCTAATTATATCATCTTTTGCAATTCGCTAATAAAGCTCTACAATAATATGATAGTTTCAAAAAGTGTTGAAATAAGATATCACGTGATGATCTTCCATATTTTACTTATATAATTAAATTTATGCAGACAACAAGCTAACTCTCTCCGTCCTACCTTAGCACCGAAGAATCCTCCTCGGAACATTCCTATATATTCGTTACATAGATCGACGGCCTACGAAATTTCACGGCCTTCACGAAAACCAGAATGATTCATGCGTTGACTGTCTCTGTTCCTCCTTCGCAGATAGCACTTTGGTAGAATGAAGGGAGTCCGTCACTGACGTGGGATTGTCACCATCCGTGTAAAATTATCACCACGGACTCCATTGTGAAGTGCTAAGAGAAGATTCGTTGCTCAATTGAATGTTAACAGATAGATCGTTCAAGGGAAGGAATATCCGATCATCCAACTTTTGTTCATGTTAGCACACAAATGATCAGGTATGATAAAGCAGCAGAAGGCAGTAATAATCATTATCAAACCAAATTTTATTTTCATTTCTGAAATTTCATTCCATTTTTTCTGTATTGTAGGAGATTTTATTACATCAATTTTGGAAGAATAAGAAATTCAGCTTTAATTATATGTTGAAAATATATATATTCACAGATGTTTGTGCTATATGTAAACACTTAAAATGTTCCGAATCAAATTTTGTTCAAATTTCTTTCTTTCTAATTGTCTGTGTACCATTGCCTTTTCTGGTAAGAGATGATTGTCGGGACACCGATGTCTTTTCCCGAATATTAACTCGATATGAAGCCCTGAAAAATTAGTCTTTTAAGTACAGTATTTGTTAATTAATTAATCTTTGACTTTATCAAAAAATACTTACGATGAATTTATTCGTTCTCGTTCCGATACATGGCTTATTTCTCCAATGGATTTATTGGACGAATGTGTGACAGAATTATTTCTTCTACAACAGTGTTTCATTTTAAATTAGTTCCCGACTTTAATCCTTTATTGTTTTAAGAAAATGAAATTGTATTGGAAATGCATATGCAAAATGATAATAGTGATAAGTAGCACTACTGATAATAATGTAATGTGCATGATAGGATGAGTTCATTACTTTCAAATGTGGAATTAATTTGTTAAAATTTTCCCCCTGTCTTATGAATAAAAAATGATAATTTTAGGCAAAATTATTCATAAGCTTCGAAAATATTTCAAAATAAACAAGACGACTCACTTTCTTGATGAACTCCTTCCCCTTCGTCGATCACCTCTACCACTATTATCATCAACACGTGACCTCTGTGACGACTCTGATCGTCTCGAAAAAATAGTTGAACGACGTTCTGATGTTGCTGGATGACAATCTTCTTTCTTCGACTTCATCTTACTGTCACGATTTAACGATATATTACTTAGCCGATGACAATCACTAACTTCTGATCCCATCACTGTTGTATTAGACTGTCGTGATCTTATCTTTTGTATCTAAATTTACAGTTTTCATGTTGATATCTCTTTCGAAAACGATAAAATTTTAAATTCATTTGGAAAAATATTTTTTTAATCATATTACTATTTACAGATGAGAATTTCAACCACTAATTGTGTGTCAGTTGCGAAATTAATTTTAAAGAGAAAAAATGAATAAAGCATAAAGGGTGCGAGCTATTTCAATTGTCTTCAATTCTCATCTCTATTTTCTATCATAATTCCTATAAATACCCTTCAGTATTATTTTCGATATCATTTCAATATATTTACAGATGTCAGTCTTTTTAACATCATAGTTAATATCATCATCTGAGTCAGGTGAAAATAAAAGGAATTTTATTAAATTGATGAAAACAAGAAATTTGACGATTACTATTTTACCTTCACTGGTCCTTTCTTTTCTTGTTGCATTTTACAAAATGGAATATGCCGTTCTGCTGCGGTTTCGTTAAAACTACGCCCACAATATTCACATTTAACGTAATCTAAAATGTCTTAACTACTCAATTAATGCCCATCAAACTAATGAAATTTAAAAAAAAATGCTTTTTTCTAATCCATCATTTGTTCGGTACGTGAACAATATGCATTACTAACGTGACGCTTATTTAAAAAATAAGTTTATTATAAAAATGGTAAAATGTATAACTTTTTGATCCATAAATAATGTGAAGCATTATTTAAGAAATAAACGTAAAATATCATTGGAAATATTGGTCAAGTGTCAGAAATTGTATTAATTAAATATGAGAATGAGACTACAGTGAATTGATAACTGATAAGATTTAAGGTGATAAATCCTAGAAATTTTCGTGAATAGTACTTAATGTCTAACGTCTAAAATATAAGTCGTTTGATTCATCGTTTGCTTTATTAAAATACTATTCTTTCTTGTTGTATTCAAGATAAAAGTGGCGCAATAACCTACTGAAGTAATTGAAATAGTTGCATTATTTTCTCTTAATTTGTTTAAAATAAGAAAAAAAGAATAAATATCCTTTTATCATATAATAAATTCAGCCTTGCGCCTAATTGGAAGATAATTTCATGAAGCTGAAAGTTTTTTAATTAATATTTGATAAATAGTTTTATCGTAACTAGTTATTTTGATTAATGGCAAAATTTAAATTTAACCTTTTGGTATTGATATTTTTGACAATGATGAAAAAGGCATATTAGTATGAACTGTAGAACTAGCTTCTTTAGATGTTGATACAGCATTAATGAATGTTTCATGTTTTTCACGCCAACTTGTTTTAGGCCTTGGAAATGTGCCACCCAGCTGTAATTAATTAGTAGCTTTATTTAAAAGAACATTAAAATTTGCTTTGAAAAAGGGAATTTTGAATTTTATCATATTGATTTTGGACAATAATTCAAATATGTTCTATTTTACTCCCACTTTTCGCATGAAAAATTAATTAAACCTATTCATCTGAGCAGGTGATGAGCATTTTAAAAATCTAAAAAATTTTTGCTTTAATTGCTTTAGAATGCTATTTTGGTTAAGTTTTCTTCAGAAATGAAAGAAATGCTGTATCAATCATCCTTTTCCTCCTTCCAATCATTTGACCAGTAATGCATATTCTCGATCATTCTATTCACGTACTTTATAAATGGTGATATAATTGCATTCCGGCAATAGCGAACATGTATTATGTAAGGTTAAATGCTTAGATCGCTAACGGAAAAGTTTTTTTCAATCATTAATTTAACTTATAAATGATCAACCTTTTCGCGTTCTTTTCGAGCATTTATAACATTATCAATGGTGATATCAGATCCGGTTGCTCGTTGTTTACCGGAATCAAATATTTTCCGTTTTGCTCTCGCCATTTTTCTGCATATTACTTCATGTTTCACCTGAATGATTCCTCTAACTAACCTTTTGAATTAATATTTGTCGGCCTCATTTTTTTCTTGATTATACCATTCCTCACTTTAACTTTGCATTCTATTTTAAAAATAATAACAATTTCACTTAAATTTAATTAAAATGGAGAAAAGCATTGTTATTATTTGCAACACTATAAACATTATTGTTATAATTTTCTCTTCCTTCAAAATAAATGCCGTCAACGTTTTAATTTTTAAATTTATGAAAAATTAATGAAAATTTGTTTTGTAGCAAATAATTTCCAAATATCGACATTTTTCTCTTTGATATTTTTGATCTCCTTGATATCTTCTCTTAATTATGCCAATAAAATGTAGTTACTTAAGGAAACTAATTAATGTGAATTAGCGCTTACCAGACTATTTTTCACAAAATTTCGCCCGCATATTTCACAAGGATGTACTTTTTCATTTTCACTTGGTAGATTAGCTGGAATGAAATAGACTTTTATTTATCACTTTGTGTTATTTTGTAAATTTTCCAGTTGCAAAAACCGGAATATTATATTTTTTTCTTTCAATAATAGTTGGAACAGCTTTGAACTAATAATCTTAACGAAAACTTTGAAATGAAATAATTTGAAATAAAACAATTTTTTTCCCTTTTTAAGCAATGCGAATGCTCAGTGAGCAATCTATCATGCACTTTTTACACCGCAGAAACCTTTCGTCTTTTTTCCCTGTTCATACGCAAAACTATCTTAAAATTAAATAAACAAATAAAAAATAAATGGTTTGAGCAAAAAAATAGAGAAAAACAAAACACATGCAAATTATGTACGCAGAAATTGTATGTAATAGCAATAATTTTTAAAAGTTCCTTGATAAATATTTGGAAATGACTTCAAAAATGAGCTTACCCATTTTTCGATTAATTATAAAATGCTTGTAAATTGATAATTATGAAATGAAAGGATAAAAATAGTTCGAAATTCTGAAGTGTGGGAAAAATAAGCGTAACTATGGGAAGCAGTGTTGTCATCCATGGAGTGATGGCGTTGCTAAGCACGTATCGCTATTTGTTACCACAATTATCCTATTTCATCATAACGATAATCATGATTCCTTTATCTAAAGTAAGATAAGAAGTGCACTACCATTTATTACTACAATTATCATAATCATCGTTTATATATCCAAAGATTGAAATTGCATATTTTTATCACCATCATCATTATTATTATTATTATTATCACCGTCTATTTTTCTCTAATCATACTTACAAGGATTCAAGATATTTAAACTTATTCTTTGTTGAATCTCAAATCTAACTAATTTCATGAAATTCTAGTAGAAGGAGAGACATGCACACCTGTCTACATACTTATAATAATTGCATATAAGGCTTCCTTTTCCTTTCCTTCTTTTTTGCTCTATTGGATACGAATATGCTCGACAGATTTTAACAGAAATGAGTTTTCCCTCAAGCATTATCGAGTAATAATTTTATTTAGAAGCAAAATGAAAAGAAAAAAGTTTCGAAAAACGATTTAAATGTTTGATTTGAGTAATGCAATTTGTTGACAGTTTCAATGAATCAAATCCCTCAAATAAATAATAATTTCGGCAATCAATTATATAATTAAAATGTAATGTAATTGTTTGTCAGAGTAAATGTAGTACTTTAAAAAATATAATAATGAAATGCAAAATTTCAATAAGTGAATAATTAAGTGACGACTTTATTCGTTGTTTTTTTTTTCAATTACGGAATATCAGAATATTTTTTCTTATTTTAATGCTGCACCATGTAAGCAATATCTGTAAAATAGCCTTACCAGTATGCTTTTTTCAAATTTATATATTTATTTATTTTTTCCATCATGTTATTGATAAGTTCTCGAACCAAAATTATATTTATACCTTTTATTTGATAATTTTCAGTAATTATTGATATAACTTACCTTAATAATACTAAAGTTTTATAATCCTCCAATGACCGGACTTCTAATTACAAGAAAGAAAACGGCAAATTTGACTTTAATCATCGATCATTAAATTTCAATTTGCTATCGATCTTTGTTCTTTTTTTGTATTCAAATACAATACGTTTACAAATCTGTAAAATAATAAATTAATAAGTAAAATCTTGTAGTAATACCTATATCTAAGTTAATTCATAATTTTAGCTTCGTGCTAGGAAATGAAGCACAAAAAAGTTTTTTCAGAATCTTTTAATTTAATCAGATATTATTCAAGCCTTAGTTCTAATAATGATTTATTTTTGAGGACAAAGATGAAGCTGCTTGACTATTCAGATTTTAATTACAAAATTGAAAATTTTATTTGGAATTAAAAAATACATCTTTAAAATCATTTTGTAAATTTCGTCGATTTAAATTTAGCAAATGTGCAATTGAGCATTCAATACATTTCATCCAGTTGATTACTTACTTGCATTTCCTTCAATTTTAACTTTGTCAACTTATTTATTAAGGATTTCAATCCTTTCACCACTTTCTCTGACTCACAAACCAAAAACTTTTTTTCAGGGAGTCAGACTTCTTCATTTTAATATTGACTTTCAAAGTTTCTTTTTTTATTATACCTTTCTAACATAAAGCCAAGAAATACTGCCACTGCAGAAAAAAAAATTATATTTTCTTTCAGGATAAAATATAAAAAATTTTGAGCACTTATAACTTGTCAGTTTTTAAATAGCTTTTTCTTTTCTTTTTAAAGTTTTTTTTGACAATTAGCGTGAATGACATTTCGGTATTTGTTGCAGTTACCAACAACGGATAATTTGATTATTACAAGACATGCATATACTGCGGTTATTTAAAGGTAAATAACAATTCTTATCGTTTTTTTTTTTTGGCTTCATTAAATTGGCAATTATATGAAGAAATACTACAGCATTTATTTTATTGCTTGTTGCAATTGTTGTATATTTAAAAAAATTTAATAAAAGCGGTTAGAGTAATTCTGTTGGATAAGATACCCCAAATATGAAATTTGATTTTGAAATATCTGATTAGAAGAAATTTTTTCCGTTTTTTTTAATAAATTTCCGGGAAATTTGCTTTGAGTTAGCCAACATAAAGATAGAGTGGGATGGGTATGTTTCTGGAAGTTTATAGTAAGCTGAGAAAATACTACACTGCCAAAAGATTAATTGAATGGCTCTTACTTGATTTCAACCACTGATAATTAAATTATTTATGGCATCTAATGATATAATTCTATTACTGCAAGCACGAACTGTTTTAAGAGATTTACATATGATAATCCGATATCTCCGTAGACAATTCATCAAAAAGACTCGAAATCGAGCCGCTGTGTCAGATAGCGATGATCTTAATGACGTCAAATCATCTTTGAATCTAACTTGATTCATAATGAACCGCAGACTTTCCGCTCCTCTTTTAAGTGTTAACTAATAAATTATTACGTGAATCTTCAAGTATTAACTAATAAATTATTACGTAAATTTTCAAGTATTAACTAATAAATTATTACATAACAGGAAGTCTAAATATACAGTCCATATTTTAAAATAATCGCATCAAAAATTTAACTAACTTAAACATTCTTGATATCATTTTGAAAGAGGTCCAACTTGTTTCGAATTAATTTTGGCCCCGAACAAATCTTGCACTTTTTCTTTATTAAACATTTGTTAAAGAATTCGACTTAAATCCTTTCTATTCAAAAACATCGTTACATCATTTATATTCGACGGTGCACAAATCTTGTTGATCATCTTACGCTTCTTCTATCAGACATTTTGGAAGAGATTGTAGCATGAAGTTCCAAATATGTTTAAGAAATTTTTTAGACTAGATGTTAACAATAGTGGAACCGACGAAGAGGATTAAACGGTCATTCATAAATTTAAGACTGCCAAAAGGAACAATTTGTCTTGGCAAATTGATGTGCAACTAGTCTGACATATAGGTATTAATTCTTCTTGAAGTGATATGCACTGTATGGTACGGAAATGTCGGAAATGAAGGATAACTCCTGCCACTTGCTATGATATAATTATGTTAGAACACTTTCTAAAAATTTAAAAGTAGGAAAAAACATTTTACTAAAAATGATTTTAAAAGTAGGGAGAAAAGAACAGTAGAATGAAACGATCCTTCTTAATATACCAATAGAAAAAAATTAAATGCTACTTTTCATAAATTATTTCGCATGTCGAGACACACAAAGGGACATCATTAATAATATTATCAGAACATTATTATTATTGATATCACTAGCATAAATTAGTGATTCATGAATTTCAAATAGTAACTACTTTCTTAATTACTTTGTCGTTTAAGCCGGAGAAAGTGCATCAACACCAGGTAGTACTTTTCCTGAAATATATTAAATTGAAATCCAAGATATTTTTTTCTATTCTGCTTTAAAAAAAGATTAATACTGCTTACATCATCTATGATCAGTTAAAAATGTGTAATGAAACGTAAAAATTATCATCGCTGTGTAAGAGAAAGTTGCAGTTTGCAGAAAGTAACATTAACGAAAAACTTTAAAAAAAGGTAAAAGATATTTAAAGTACATTTAATAAAATCTAGTCTTAAGGATTTCAAAACATCCGATGGGAAATATTTCTCAAAAACTAGGTAATGTACACTAATCTATAAAGGAAACAAAACAGTCACCTTCAAGCAATTCCAGACTTGCGCCACCACCAGTACTAACATGGCTTACTTTGTCACCAGTTTTCCATTTCTTGCAACATGTTGCCGTATCACCACCACCTTTAATATTCAAACTATATCTGCTTAACCTGATAAAATTAAAACGCAGTTTTTGGATCTATGGATGCAAATGAAACATAGTCAAATAAGAACGAAAATAATAACCAATGATAGTAACGGCGCCCTTTGAAGTAACATCAACAACAGCATCCATTACTGCCTTTGTTCCTTTCGAAAAATTCTCCCATTCAAACACACCAGCTGGTCCATTCCAAACAACAGTTTTTGCACGTCCTACAACTTCAGCAAATTGCTTGGCTGTTTCCGGTCCAATATCAAGACCCATCCATCCATCTGGGATACTTGATTTGAGGTCCGCTGTCTTGAACTGAGCGTTCTGAAAGAAAAACAAAATAGCAAATTTGATTTGTTATGAGGGCCGAAATTATTTTTAAAAAACTACCGTTTTTTAAGTTTTATTTTTATGGGCGAAATGGAGAACTAGTACCTCGTTGAAATCATCAGCAATAACGAAATCAATTGGCAAATGTATTTTTACTCCTTTCTCCTTAGCCTTATCCATCAATTCATTGACTATTTTGGCACCCTGCAATAAAATATTAAAATATTCAATAAAATATTCAACCTATACTAGTTAT